CCCCCGCCCCCCCCCCCCGGGCCGCGGTAAAATTGTCGAGCGTTGACCGGTCCGCAGTGATAAAAAGGTTGGGGACCACTGTGCTAAATTGTTTATCAAGCTTCTATCAATAGAGTGGGTGAATTAAAATAGGTAAATCAAGATTAGAGGACTTTGACAAACATTGCTTTCAGTGTTACTCTTGTTAACAAATTTAGCAAGTGACATGTAAGATTGAAAAAACCTAAATTTTAGATGTCTGCAAAACTACCCAGTTTTAAATGCAGAGATGCATACCATATACCATTTTTATAATAAATTTTTAATAGATGTAAATACAATCAAATTTAACCCTTGTGTTGCATCCAGGTCAAATGGACCCTTTTTTTAGATTTTTACTAAAAGAAAACTGACAAAAAAAAAAACAACTGTTGACCTGAACCTATGTGGACTATAAATTATATTTACATATAAATATTCTGAACCAAAGCCCCAGGGACTCTATGCTTTGTTATCACCAGGGAGTACTGCGGGAATGGAGCTCCATAATGGGGGAAAGGAACCAGCTAGCTCCCCTGGTGAACCAGAGCTCCAGGCACCCGGCGCACCAGCTGAACATGTGTACCCCGTTATCACCAGGGAGTACCCCGGGAATGGAGCTCCATAGTGGGGGGGAAAGGAACCAGCTAGCTCCCCCGGTGAACCAGAGCTCCAGGCACCCGGCGCACCGGTTGAACCTGTGTACCCATGCTTAAGCCCCCTCCCTGGGCTAAACAATTTAAACCGCCCGGCCACAACTTCGTGCTCCTGGTACTCCAAATGGAGTTTCATGCCTCTGATATTACACTGTGTGGGAACAGAAATTTTTCTAAGTCCCAATATTGAGTACCAGGACCACAGGTCATTAATTTTTCTAAGTCCCAAACAGGCCATGCTACACTCTGCTTCACCCATGGAGAACCACATATCTCTGGCCAGGCTCTTATCTCTGGGCCCTCACACAAAACAAAAACTCTTTAATGCTAAAGTGAAAACAGGTTTTTACAAAGCAATGTCAATTAATACATAATGTGAAATAAGTGATTGCATAAATATTCACCCCCTTTAAAATGACTGACCTAACTCAATTTTGTTTGTCAAAAAAGCCAAATTATATTGACCATGATTGATTTATAAAATCAATAAAAGGGTAAAACATCCAAGGGGCTGAATACTTTTTATAGGCAATGTATATTGGCTCTCACAATGTTCCTTTGTCATCACTTCAAAGAAAATAAATCTGCTGTGACAGAAATTAACCAGCAGTAACTTATGGACTTTTACATAAGATATATTGGTACATTTACTATAAAATTACTGCAGTCAATCACTTGAGAGGAAATTTTATTTAAAAAGAATCCCCTTTGGTCTCCAAGTGCTTCACTACGTAAATAGATAATCTTCTCTTCTTTCCTTCATGTCTCATTGCCTCCAAGCAATTCCCTGTGAGCAAATCAGTGATTGAGTTTGAAGACTGGACAAGAAAGAAGCATGGAAGTGTTTAAAACTTGACAGAGAACTCATTTGTGGTTCTACAAAGAGTCGTACTGCTGTCTTGTGGTGATAAGTGTAACTCAGTGGCAAACCCACAGTCATTGCCATGACATCTCAAATTTTTTTTTTTAGTTTAAAAATCATATATTATGGACAGAAAGGTAACTGCATTGCTAAACAGACAGAACTAGAACTGCAGTATCTCAGGTTTGTTCTCTACAACAACTCATATTGTAGAAGTACAGAAAAATCTACAGTAATATTAACTTCCAACTCTGGTGTTCATACTCTAATCTACAACAGTAGATGAGAAGGTTTAACTGATAAAGCACAAAGCTGCACTGAAATTTTTCTATCTTGTTAATATGTATGGTCATATTCACAAAAATATTAAGAGATACCTTTGGAGTATTATTGAGTATTCTCATACATCCTCATACAGTATATCTAGACTTATTAGCTTAACTTATGAACAATAAATCTGAAAGTGTT